GACAATGTTCTGTTTTTTTTCGCTGTTCCATCTAACTCACAGATATTGGCAGTGCATTCTTGCTTCAATTAACTCCAACTTCATCATGAAGACATTATTTAGTTAGTATTAACTGCAATTAAGTGCATCTATATTTTATTGAGATCTCTAAAGCTTTTTATTTATTTAGAAATTAGGCATATAGTATAGATCTTTACACAATGTGGAATTATTATAACAAAAATCGTTCTTAAATCCATCTGCTGTAATAGTGAAACCTGATTACACTTTAAGGACTGTGGTTCTGAAATCAATCTGTTCACCCTATTTTATAGGAATCCTAGACTAAATTGTCAGGATCACTAGGGATGTGCCACTATGCTTGTGATAAAGACTATGCTAAATCTACAGGAATCAAGTAATCCTTTGCAGAAACAGCATATCTAGATAGCAATTGCTGGACTAGAAATGATTTCTCTTACTCTGAGAGTGTGAAGAACTTAACGAGAGAGTAATTCTTCTCTACTGAAAATGTCATGGTCTATTGATTATGATAAGACAGTTTTCTCTCTTGAAGTTAGGGAAGCAGCTCTTAAGAAAAAGGTAACTTTATAATTATAGGTTAAAGTTAGCAGGTCTCACCTTCAAATATATCCTGTGATATTTTCTCTGCTTTAAAAAGATTCTAATATCAATCCTCAACTGTATAATTTCAATTCGAAATTATATAATATGCAAATATTAGTCATTCCAAGTTACAAATTTGATGTATTTTAATTTAGCTAAACACAACTCTTGCCCCATGGATAATAAATTATTTAACTCACATATTAATAGTTATAAGAATATGATCTATGTGTATAATAGTTTAGTTTTTACCTTATACTGTTTTTATATTAGTCTTTCATGTCCTATCATTTAGGGCAAGACATGAGAATGTGAAGGATGTTTTTATAATTTTGTTTCTTATTCAAAAGCAAATACTCACAATGTTGTTTTTTTTCTGCTCCATCCTAATATTGAGTCATTCTGGCATTCATTAAGTCCAACTTATCATGAGACATATTTATGTAGTATTAAACTGCAATAAGTGCATCTATATATTATTGAGATCTCTAAAGCTTTATTTATTTAGAAATTAGCATATAGTATAGATCTTTACACAATGTGAAATTATTATAACAATAATCGTGCAATAACATACTACCAAACTAAAATAAAATGGCAAGGAAAAAATGGGGGGGCAATGTTATTCTAAGAACACAGCTATGTTTCTTCATTAGTATAGCATAGCGGTTAAATGCACTGTCTTTGTAAAACCCTCAGACAGGTTCAAGACTCCACTTTGCCCCTAATTAGGGTATGAATTTAGGCAAATAACTTCAAGACCTCTCTGTGCCTATGTCCTCCTCTTCTTTACAATGCCTGCCTCACAGATTTGTGAAAAAAGAAATTACCACACATATGACCATCACAGCAGCAATTCCCCTGTTGTAAATGGTCATGAAAGGTTATGCGTACAACTCTTGAAAGCCCCTTAATGAAAGAACAACTTTAAGTATTTCCTAGAGAAAACCAGTGGTACATGGAGAATACTGGATTTCATTTGACACTATAAATGCAGCTCATGACTCATTTTTCCATGCAGGATTTTCTGGCTCTGAAGACAAATATCAGTGACTGGGAACTGGCAGAATGGCCTCCGGGGATTTGGCTGTAGGAGTGGTGTGCTTATCACAGACTGTGGTTGGGCTCATGGGGAACGTCTCTCTTCTTTACCATTACCTCTTTCTTTACTTCACTGGGTGTAGGCCGAGGTCAACAGACTTGATTGTTGTGCACCTGATTATAGCCAACTTCTTATCCCTCCTCTCTAGAGGAGTCCCCCAGACCATGGCAGCTTTTGGGTTGACACTTTTCCTCAATGATATTGGATGCAAACTTGTCTTCTATGTCCACAGAGTGGGCAGGGGTGTGTCCATCAGCACCACGTGCCTGCTGAGTGTCTTCCAGGTGATCACGATCAGCCCCAGGAACTCCAAGTGGGGAGAGCTTAAAGAGAAGGCTCCCAGGTACACAGGCTTTGCTATTTTCCTGTGCTGGCTCCCATACATGCTGGTCAATATCATTTGTTTCATGTATGTGACTAGCAAATGGGGCAACACCAACATCACAATAAAAAAGGATTTAGGATACTGTTCTGGGGAAGGTAATAATGAAATCTCAGTGTCACTATGTGTACCAATGTTGTCAATCCCTGATGTTTTCTGTGTGGGGCTCATGCTCTGGGCCAGCAGCTCCATGGTTTTCATCCTGTTCAGGCACAAACAGCAGGTCCAACACATCCATAAGAACGATCTCTCCCCCAGATTCTCCCCTGAGTCCAGAGCTACCCACAGCATCCTCGTCCTGGTGAGCATGTTTGTGTCTTCTTACATCCTCTCCTGCCTTCTTCAAGTTTGTATCGTTTTTTTGGATAATCCCAATATTTTAGCAGTAAATGCTTCAGCCTTAATCAGTGTGTGTTTCCCAACCCTGTGTCCCTTCATTCTCATGAGCCGTGTGTCCAGAGAACCCAGGCTTTCCTTTGCCTGGATAAAGATTACAAAATCTCCTAAACCCATCATAAACATGTAATTTGTTGTTTATTTTTAAAATCTCAGAATATTATGGGGTACACACATTTTGTTTATATAATTTGCTTTTGTAGCATTTGAGTCAGAGTTCTAGGTGTGCCCGTCACCCAGATAGTGATCATTGTATCCATCAGGTGTGGATTTACCCATCCTCTCCTGCCCATCCCACCTGCTTGATTTCTGTTGAGTTTTACTCCCATATGTGCACATAAGTGTTGATGGATTAGTTCCAATTTAGCATCGAGTACATGCAGTGTTTGTTTTTCCATTCTTGCGATACTTCACTTAGAAGATGATTCCATTGTTTCTTCACCCATCCCTGCAGAACTGTAAGTATAAATGTAAAATGATCAGAATTATGAGAGAATGGTGAACAAGACAGAGTGAACTTCCATCCCGATAATAAACACTAAATAGTAAAAACAATTGCAAATGAAATATGAAATTATTATGTAAATACTTATATCATTGAACGTTTCTTAATGCCTGTAGTAGAGTGGTTCAAAGTCCATGCTGTAAAAAAATTAGGTCCTGAAACAATCCGAAGATTATGGGGAAGCCTTTGAGTTTGCAACTTAATCAGACATAAATAATTGATGCAGAAAATAACTAAGCATGAACTCATTGAAAATGTTACATGAGAAAGTAAGAAAATGTAAGAAGACTGTTCAAGAAAGTGAAGAAAAAAATCTTCTCATGTAATCATGAGGTAATATGGAGTGAAGGTGGCATTCTACACTAAGTTTTTTTTGGAGTCTTTATTGGAAGATATGTTGAATTTTATTGAAGGTTTTTTCAGCATCTATTGAAGTGATTATATATATATTTTTTGTTCTTGACTCTGTTAATGTGATGTATCAAATATATTAAATGCGTTTGTTGAACCATCCTTTAGGTGAATCCCACTTTATCATGGTGAATGATCTTTTCAATGTGTTGTTGAATTCAGTTTGCCAGTATTTTCTCAAGGATTTTTGTCTGTATGTTCATTTGAGATATTGGGGTGCAGTTTTGTTTTGTTGTCGTGTCCTTGTCTGGTTTTGGTATTAGGGTATGTTGGCTTCTTAGAAATAATTTGGAAGTAGTTCCTCCTCTTCCATTTTTTTGCGAAGTTTGAGTAGAATTCGTTTTAGTTTTTCTTCAAGTATTTGGTAGAATTCAGCAGTGAAGCTATCAAGTCCTAGGTTTTTGTCTTTTTTTTAAGGGAACTTTCAAAAAAAAAAAAAGGGAGCCTTTTATTAGAGCTTTGGATAATCCCAAATCCCAATTGATCTCTTTACTCATTGTTGGTTTATTGAGGTTTTTATTTCTTAACGGTTCAATATTGGTAGATTGTATGTGTTTAGGAATTTATCTGTTTTTTTCAGGTTTTCCAATATGTTGCTGCGTATTTATTCATAAATATGAATCACTAAAAATTATTTGTATTCTGCGGTCTCAGGTATTATGTCTCCTTTCTCATTTCTGATTTAATTTATTTGGGTCTTTTCTATTTTAATCTTAGTCTAACTAAAGGTTTGCTGATTTTATTTAACTTTTCATTTTGTTGATCTGCTGTATTTTGTCATCTCAATTTTATTTATTTCCGCTCTGCTCTTTTTTTTTTTGCGTTCTTTTGAGCGCGGGCGCGCTCTTTCGCTTACCCAGCGCCTGGAGTGAGTCCCATGGGGCTCGCTCGCTCCGCGCCAGTCAAACTCCTGCGACCAGAGCGATCCTCTGCTCCGCCATCCCAAGTACCTGGGACTAAGGGCCACTGGTGCCCCCTTGCTCGGCCTCGCCTCTTTCTATATCATTAGTTGGGCCCCTTCATTTCGTTTCTATATATCCGTCAGAGCGAACCAGGGTCCTCAATCTTGCTCCGGCCTGGTCTCCGACCGTTCCTGACCCTCAAGCATCCAGCCACGCTCGCCTCCAGAAGTGGTATGATTACAGGCGTGAGTCACTGTGCCTGGCCTCTGCCCTGCTCTTTATTATTTATTTCCTCAACCAATTGTCTTGGCGTTTGCTTTTGGGGTTCTTCGTTTGTCGGCTTCCTGACGAGGCAGTTTCTAGTTTGTCACTTTCTAACTCTTTGCTACTACGGCATTTAATTACTACAAACTTCCTTCTCTGCTACTCGTTTTCTACTGTAGTCTATGACATTCTTCCCGCTATGTTGAGTTCCTCACCTATTATTTTTATTCCTCTTCAAGCTTGTAACAAATTCCCTTTAACTGTCTTCTACTTGACCCATTGGTCACTCAGAAACATGTTGTTTAAGTTCCAAATGTTCATGTATTTTCTGAGGTTCTTATTATTGATTTCTAGTTTAATTTCATTGTGGTCAGAAAAGGCATTTGATATGATGTCCACTGTTTTGAAATTTTAGATGCTTTGCGGCCTAAAATATGGTCTTTTCTGGAGATTATTCCATATGCTGATGAATAGAGTGTATTTTGAAGTAGTAGGTAAAAGGTCTGTGGATGTCAGTGATTTCCACATGGTCTTTTGTGTAGTTCAACTCTGTTTCTTTGTTGCATTTGTGTCTAGTTGATCTGTCCATTACTGAGAGTGAAGTGTGAAAGTCCCCTACTATTATTGCAAAGCAGGCTGTCTAACCCTTCAGATCTATTAATTTTTGCTTTATATACTTAGGAGCCCTGGTGTTGGGTGCCTAGATATTTATAATTGTTATACTCACTTGCTGAATTAACCCTTTTATCATTTTTTTTTTTTTTTTTTTTTTTTTTTTTTTTTTTTTTTTTTTTTTTTGTGGAGAAATGGCTTCTGGAAACCCTTTTATCATTTTATAGTGGCCTTCTTTGTCTATTTTAACTGTGTTTGCTTTGCATCCATTTGTAAATCATATAACAGAATTCTTATATTTTATTTTATTTTTTTATTTCAGGATATTATGGGGGTGCAAACATTTTGGCTACATGTTATGATTTTTGCCACACCCAAACCGGATTTGAGGCGTGCCTTTTCCCCCTTACAATGCTCATCATGTCCATTAGTTGTGAGTTTACCCACCCCTAAGCCTCCATTCCCTGAAGAATATTACTACTGCATGAGCACCATAGTGTTCATCAGTTAGTGCCAATTTGATGACAAGTACATGTGGAGCCTATTCTTCCATTCTTGTGATACCTCACTTTGGAGGATGGGCTCACGCTCTATCCAGGAAAAGATAACAGGTGCTAGATCACCATCGTTTCTTATAATTAAGTAATATTCCATTGTATACATATACTGAATTTTATTAATCCACTCATGGATCGATGGGCACTTACGTTGTTTCCACAATCTTGCAATAGTGAATTATGCTGCCATAAACATTAGGCTGCAGATGTCTTTACTATAGAATGTCTTTTGTTCTTTTGGGTAGATGCCTAATAGTGCTATTGCTGGATCAAATGGTATTTCTATTTTTAGCTCTTTGCGGTATCTCCAAATTTTTTTCCACAGAGGTTGCACTAGTTCGCAGTCCCACCAGCAGTGTAAGAGTGTTCTTATCTCTCCACATCCTCACCAACATTTGTAGTTTGGGGATTTTTTAATAAAGGCCAGTCTCACTGGAGCTAGGTGATGTCTCGTTGTGGTTTTGATTTGCATTTCTCTCATTATTAGAGATGTTGATCATTTTCTTATATGTTTGCTGGCCATTATTCTGTCTTCTTTTGAAAAGTTTGTGTTCATGTCCTTTGCCTATTTGCTGATAGGGTTGTTTGATTTTTTTTCTTATTGATTTTTTTTGAGTTCTAGGTAGATTCTTGTTATCAGTCCTTTATCGGATGTGTAGAGAGCAAATATTTTCTCCCATTCTGTAGGCTATTTACTCTAATAATAGTTTCATTGGCTGTGCAGAAGCTTTTTAATTTGATCAGTTCCCATTTATTTATTTTTGTAGCTGCTATGATTGCTTTGGGAGTCTTTTTCAAAATTTCTTTGCCTAGGCTCATGTCTGAGAGCGTCTTCTCTACATTTTCTTCAAGGATTCTTAAGGTTTTATGCCTTAGGTTTAAGTCGGTTATCCATCTTGAATTGATTTTTGTGAGAGGTGAGAGGTGGGGATCCAGTTTAATCTTCTGCGTGTAGTTATCCAGTTTTCCCAGCACCATTTATTGAAAAGAGATTGTTTTCCCCAGTGTATATTTTTGTGTGCTTTGCCAAAGATTAGATTGCCATATACGATATTTTCGTCTCTGGAATCTTAGTCTTGTTCCAAAGGTCTCTATCTCTGTTCCTGTGCCAGTCCCATACTGTTTTAGTTACTATAGCTTTGTAGTACAGCTTGAAGTCTGGTAGACTCCCAGTTTGTTCTTTTTGTTTAAGACTGCTTTGGCTATATGCATTCCGGAACTGGGGAGAAAAGAACAATAAAAAAAAAAAAGACTGCTTTGGCTATATGGGGTCTTCTCTGGTTCCATACAAAGCATAGAATTCTTTTTTCTGGATCTGTAAAGAATGTTAAAGGTACTTTGATAAGGATTGCATTAATTCTGTAGATCACTTTAGGTAGTATGAACATTTTAACAATGTTGATTTTGGTAATCCATGAGCAAGGTGGATTTTTCCATCTGTTTCCATCTTCTACGATTTCTTTTTGGCTGGTTAGCTCAACTTGTTGTAGTCCAGTTTTGTAAAGAATGTATTTTTTAAAGTTAAAGCTAAACACATAGTGCAGTTTTTTCCTCTTCATTATTTTGGTTTATTTTCTTTTAAAAAAAATTTCAATAGATTTAGGAGGTACGATGATTTTCATTACATGGAGGAATTGTATTACGCTGAAGGCAGGGCTTTCAGCATACCTGTCACTAGAATAGTGTACATTATACTCCATAGGTTGATTTTTATCCTACACCCCCTTCCCATCCTCCCTCCTTCTTAGTTTTCAATGTCCATTACACAACTTTATGGCCATATATATCCCTTTTTTAGCTCACATTTATAAATGAGACCATGTGGTATTTGTTTTTCTGTTCTTGAGATACTTCACTTAGGATAATGGTCTCCAATTTC